ACTCAGCCCAGCAGACGGCGTAGCAACAATACGCGCCTCCCGGGCCGGCCCAGATATATAATGACAGGCCGGGAGAATGATCCGGTCCCCGACCGGAAGGCCTGGCCAAGGTGGGGCACAGTCCGACTCCAACCACTTTTTTCGACCGGAGATACGCTGGACCTCTACTCGTGGCTCTTCCCCGACCGACACGGTCGGGGCCGACAGGGAACGACCGACCAGGGACGCTCGCTCGATGAGGGCCCGGAGATCAGGCGGAGCAGATAAGGTAAGGCGCTCAAGTCAAACCACAATACCGAGGACCGTACCCTGCCATAGCCTGCGCACCTATAGGACGGTGCCACCAGGCCATGCCAGATGGGCACTATGCAACCTTCTAGGCATGTCAGAATACAAACAGTATTGTAGGCACCGACGTTTGCCATACCAGGCGAACACGGTAGAGCCTGCCACATGCATCTAGATATAAATAGTATTGTGGGCGCCGATGATCGTCTTGTATCCGATAGTGTGGGCAACAAGACTAGGTAGCACACGTATACATTCTCTCTCTTTCTCTTACTTGTAAAGCCATCTCCTTCGACTATAAAAGGGGATGAGCTCTCTTCTAAAAAGCTCTCTGGCTCTCTAAAAAAAAGAGAAGCCAGATGATTCGAGCACTCGAGGACTTGAGAACTCGAATAGCTCAATAGCTCTAGAACTCTAAAGCTGCACAGAGCATACGTTCTAATACTTAGCGCACATTAGAGCCCCCGTCACTCTCGGCCCTTCGGTTCAGAGTTCGATCGGACCTTTAACATCCTCCTTCTTATTTCTACTCGTTTGTAATCTCACAGCAAACTTCGAGCACCTGGGCTCAGGAATAAAGTCACCGACCAACTGAAACTGGACGTAAGGCACGTTGTCTGAACCAATATAAATCCTGTGTCATTAAGTGTTAGGCCACATCCGATCACAACGCACGATAAAACTACAAATATTTATTTATTGGTCACTTTTCGCACCGACAACTTGTCTCAAAGAACGACTGACGTAGACTATCACTGATCAGAATTCAGAAAGACAGAAACACCTACCTCTACCTTGAGTTCCGTGTGCAGTCTTGTATTCATTGTCATGTTCTTCTGATATACTCTCTCTCCGTACCAAAATAATTGTCATAGTTGGTGTGCGTGTCACAAGTTTGACTCGATTTATAGAAAATACGTGCAACATTTGTATCTCAAAATAAATTTATTAAAAAAACTAGATTCAAAGATCTTTCCAATGATATTAATTATATACCATAAATACTAATATTTTTTAGTATATATTTAATCAAAGTTGTTTATCGTGAAACGAAAACGACAGAAGAATTACAAAATGTTTGGCAAGTAACTTGCAATGGATCACAAAATGTTTTGCAAGCTAACTCTAGTCAAGCCGGACATGCATTCTAATCTCCATCACACCTTCTGCAGCAAATGGATCGAATTATATATTGTATCAAAAGAAAAGACAGATTCAAGGATTGTGAGTAGCAATCATTTCATGGGCGAAGCTTCTAACTGACCAACTACAAGATTCGATTTCTTTTCTTTTCTTTTCTTTTTGTGCAGTTGGTGGTGTAGTGTAGGTGTAGTAGTTGGTCTCTGAACCCTTTTATTTGAGGCAACAGACTAAGATACCCTCTAGTCTAGTTGTTAAAAGATAAATTACTCTACATTATGGAAAAAAATAAAGGATATGCACACAACAACAAGGACAATAGTTCTACATAAAATGTAGTCCTGCACCTCAAGAGCAGACAGAGGCAGCATGGGAAGTTCTGCACATGCCAGCCTGTTGCAACTCCAGGCGTCAAACCTGAAAATCATAGTCGGCTGCTAGATGCTCCAATTCCAGATCATTTGATTGATGTACAAGGTACTCTATCATTCTTCAATTGGGAGAGCATGTGCCCTGGTCATCTTTGCATTAGCAGCAGGAAAAGGGTAAAGAATGCCCGAAAGGATAAAAGAAAGATCAAAGGTTGTCCCAAAACAGATCAGAGTTTTAAGTAAAGCAAGGGCCTGTTTTGGATGGCCAGCCCAGGTTGTTAGGGATGACTAATCAGGTAATCATGCTTTTAGCTGCAGGTAACACAACGCAAACACACCCTGTGTCCATTGTGTCTTCCAGCCGGCCAGCATGTTACTCCATTCTACTTTCATGTTTGCCTCATACATTCAGCTGAATATACACCTAAGCTTGCGCATACATTCAGTTGTTTAGTGCTAGCACCGATGTGCAGTGCAGGCAACGAACTGGAAAGGAAAGCGAAACCTACCAAGTCTCACGTGTTTGCACTTTGCTGAATGTCATTGGATACCTTTATCTGGAGAATGCCTTTGGATGTCTCATTTGACATGTGTATGTGGGGTTCAAAGTTTCAAACTTATACCAAATCTCAAAAAAATATGGCAGAGCTTAGATATACAAACGTCGAACAAATATGCCGTTAATGCAAGGATTAAGTACAGTGTGAGACCAGAAAGTTGTGTTTGATGTAGATGATTTCTTCCTCCTAGCCTCCCGTGCTTGCATGGCCTCTTCTTTTTGCAAATGAAAATGCAGTTGGTGTGGCCTGTATTTTGTCCCTCCCTTGGGCAGAGGGACCTAACCTTCTAATTAGCAATTGGAAAATTGTGTAGCCTGATCTTAACTACTGCCATAGGTACTACCAAAAACCAGACAACAGTTCATATTATAGACTAAACTAGTGGTGCTTGGGTGCAAACTTTTTTTCTTTCAGAAAATGCATTGTGTATAGCGACAGTTGGATTGAGCAAAGGCTATTATGGCTCAGTCCTCTTGAAGCGGATATGGCTGTTTGTTGCAGGCACTCATAGGCGGAGCTAGCTAGGTGGACAGGTGGTCCATGGACCACCCTAAAATTTAGCTCAAGGTTAAACTACAGTAGATGAGCTCTTTAAAATCATGAAAATTACACATTGACCACTCTATAATTTGGTTTTATACATCTATAGTGGACCACCCTTGCTTCAAATCCTAGCTACGCCACTGCAGGCACTAGGAGAACGCCCGTGATGTGGGGGGCCACGACAAGCCTGGGGTTCTGATATTCTTTGCATATTAATCAATAGGCTAAAGGAAGATGACTAAGTTAGGGGAGTCATACTTCACCTTGGCCATATTCGCTTCTCTTATAATCCGTATTTTTTAGTTTATTTTTTCAACCGAAACAGTGTTTTTCTCTCACAATAAATCAGCCGGAACAGTGTTTCGGCTTGTTTTTTTAGCGAAGCGAACGAGGCCAACTTGTCGATGGTTGGTTGTCTATTTTGCAATATGTGGATGATAAAATCTTTTTCTAGACCATGATCTAAAGCAGACTTAAGAATATAAAGCTGTAAACTTCCTCATTCCAGAAAACAAAGCCATAGGTAGTACTAGCGCACAAATTATTGTTTGTCTGCATTTGGAATTCGAAGTTTAGAAACATAGGGGCCGTTGCTAGTCTGGAAAGACCAGCCACCCGGCTGCTCCCCCTCTTAATTTACTGTTTACCAAACCAGCTGAACAGTGTTTTTCTCTCACAACAATTCAGTCGGAACAGTGTTTTTTAGCTAAGTTTCAGACCAGCGAACAGGGCCATATATGTTTAGTCTTAGTGACCGTTTGGATCTCTTCATTTTAGAGGAATTGGAATCTACTCAATGATTAGGCTCTTTGGTTTGGAATTTAACATTCCACAACTTTCGCAAGCTCACAGATAAGCTTATCTCAAATTCATAGGGTGGGAAATGAAATTTGATTCTATAGATCATCGTGCTATATTTCTACTCTGTAACTTATAGCATGCTCTTCAACTTACTTCCCCACAGTACAAATATAACGTATAAGTATCTTCCTTGTATGGCTAATAATAATATAAAAATATATTCCATGTATAATCATATTAACTTAATTAATTTATGTCTAAATTATAATTATTAGAATGAATTTAATTCCAATGATCCAAACGAGTAAGATAATTGGTACTGCCTATGGTCATATGGTGGTACACTGGTGTTGCTCAGTTCAGTCCTTAGTAGTTTAACTATATCTGGATTTTTACTAGTTAAGTTTTTTAAGGCAATAATAATAAATGAAAATATAGCCTAGCCAAATGGGACAAATTCTATGTCGCCCTGAGGATCAAGGGGGGCTGGGAATAACTTGGCAGACCTTTCTCAAAAATAAATAACTGAGTTCAAAAAATCTTACTCAGGTACGATCAAAACATGGGGCTTCACAATTTTGGAAAGGTTTGCTAAAGATTGAGGAATATTTTCTAGAGTGCGGGACATTTTTAAAATAAGAGATGGCTCATGCACTAGATTTTACACATGTGGATAGAATCCTCACCCGGACCCATAAAGACCAACTTTGCTAGCTTATACTCCCTCCATTTAAATTATAAGTTATTTTGACTTTTCTAGACACATAGCTTTTGCTATCCATCTAAATATATACATTGTCCAGATGCATAGCAAAAGCCAAAGCGACTTAAAATTTGAAGCCGAAGGATTACAATAGTATAATGTCCGCCACTGAGCAGCTTGCAGTAACTCCTAGAGACACGGGGCATTGCGGAGTCCACACCGTGTCGGCACATCCGCCAATCAAGTAAACATACAAGACCACTATCAATTAAATTAATGTTCAGGTCCGAACCTGTACACTGGTATATGATACACTGAAACCCAAAAGGTGTCAGGCGGCATAATTATACATGTAAACCAAAGAAGAAAAAAACCTAGGTGGTGGTTATCAACTCTATTTCACTATCGCTGTCTTCTCATTCCCCGGTTATCAACATGAAATACACCCTGCCATGCCTATGCGATGATAGCTATGTGCGACTTGCAACCCCACTGCAGGTTGAGATTTTGCTAAATCTGAAATGCTGCAAAATGGATGGGTGCAAGAAATCAGGTATGGGGTCAAAAGAATACCACAAGCCTATGAACAAAAGGTCAAAAGCCATTAGAAGCCTCTGTCAATAAGTGGGCATCATCAAGAACAATATCGGCAGGATCCCCAATCCAAAGTCTATCCCTCCACCGAAACTTTATCCTCAGCTTTCCATCTGCATCCACACCTACAACCTCGCCTTTGCTCGCGTAGGTCTCCATCCCCCAACCCCATCTGGGGGATACAAGACCAGGTCGTATCCGTACTTTGTCACCTTGTCTGAAGGGCCTCACCTTTTCCACCTCCCATGCTTTGCACAACCATAGTCTCTCACAGAAGCAGAAAGCAATCCAGAGCTCTCCATCATCAGCCCGGTGGACCACCCCTATGCTGTTGTGGTTCACATCACCCCATTGATACACTGGGGTTCCAACGGAGTCCTTAACCTTCACCCAATCCCCAACACAGACTTCCTCCTCCTCCTCCACTTTTTCCACCTCTGCGGGGTCTATCAACCAAGCCCTGGCACCAGCTGGTGTATGAATCCTCAGTTTCCCATCTGCGTCAATAGATGAGATTGTCCCTATACTTGAATGACTATGATTAGACCAACCAAATCTTGGCTGGCGGATACAGCCTCTAATTCGAACACGCTGCCCAACAACAAACTTGCTAACTCCTTCAAGCTGGCTAGAAGGCCCAATCCACCTTTCCTGCTCACCACAAAAAGCGACATGAATGGTTCCATCCCAAGCATCACCTTGATACCCCACCCCATGCACCACACCAATGCTACCAGGCTTGAGCGATTTCCATTGCTCCACATCGTTCCTCAGCCTAACCCACTCTTCAACCTCAAAGATATTCTCAATTTCAAGATCTGCAGGATCGCCTCTCCACAATCCGGGAACACCGAAGAAGGCAACCCTTACTTCTCCATCAGCATGTACACCAGCGATGATGCCTCTAGAATCAGGGTTCGCATCTCTCCATCCCCATCTAGGCTCTGAAATTCCAGCACGGAACCGAACATGCTGACCAATTTTTAAGGTCTGCACTTTCTCAATGTCTGTGTTATGGGTTAACCATTTCCCATTCCTGAAACAACCAGCTAACTCCAAGTAACCAGAGTCCTGAATGCTATGGACTACTGCAATGCTTATTCTCCCAACACTATTCCAGTCATAAGTAGGCCTGCTCCCAATACTTGGTTTCAGGCGGACCCAATCTCCAACCTCAAAGGCTGAAAGCCTCTCAGCGTCACCAGGAGCAACCTTCCACAAGCTTTTTCGGCCAGAAACCTTGATATTTAAAGTTCCATTCATATCAATCCTTGATATGGCTCCAATAGTAGCTGCAGTTTCATTTAACCATCCAAGGCGTGGCTCAGATATAGAAGGTGACACATGAACCTTTTCCCCTACTTCAAATGGCTGTGCCTTCTCGACATCTGCAACTGAGCAAAGAAAAAGCTTGCTTCTGAAGCAGAAAGCAACACCAACATCCCCATCATCTTGTAGACTATGAACTATCCCAATACTATTGCGAGTCACATCCTCCCATCCATATTTGGGTGAAGGAACTGTTGCTTTGACTCTAATCCAATCACCAACCTGCAAATAGAAATGGAAGATAAGGATCCAAAGAAAATCGATAAAAGCATTAACACGAATATTAAGAAGTTTATACCTTGAAGTTCTCAATCTTTTCCATGTCCGATGGATCTGCCTGCCATGGTGCAGCCCGATTAGGAATATCAATGATGAGCAGACCATCACTCTCGATGTCAATTATTTTCCCAACACTGTGATGAGTCTCACCACCCCATGCATATCTGGGCTCTGCAACAGACCTCTTTACACATACTTGGTCCCCAATCTGTAATTTTGTTTTGCAAAAACAAGAACATAAACAGTAAACCATTGATCCTTATGTTTATATAACCACAAAGTAACACCACCACAGTATCAAAGGGAGCCTTAGATGTAAGGGATTGTAAACACAAGAACAAATAGATCATATACTCCCTCCGTTCCAAATTATAGTTGACTTTGGTTTTGTCCTAAGTCGAACTTTGCTAGCTTTGACCAAGGTTTTAGAAAATAATATTAACACCTACAAGTTCAAATAAATACACTATCAAAATATATTTCATGGAGAATTTAATGAAACTAATTCAAGATTGTCGGTATTGGTGCGTTTTTCCATAAACTTGGTCAAAGTTGAAGTTCGAATTAAGACAGCCAAAGTGAACTGTAATTTGGAACAGAGTATTAAATAGTAGATAGTTAAAATAATTGAACAGAACAATAACTTACGAATAGACAGTATATTATGTGATAGACAGTTCAAAAACTACCTTGAATGGGTCAACATGTTCAACCTCCTCTGGTTCACACAGCCATGGATGGGACAAATAGCAAAGGCCCAATAGAAGACTGCTATCTGGTCTGATGGAGTATACAATCCCAACACTTCCAGGAGTAATAGACTCCATGCCATGTACAGCAACCGTCAGTGAGGGACGAATCCGAACCCAGTTACCGACCTTATATTCTTCAACCCTTTCAATTTCAGCAGGATCAGCTCTCCATCCCCTAGAAGCTCCTGGGAAACCAACCCTCAAGATTCCATCGTCATCAACACAGAGAACTGTCCCAATGCTATCCCGCGATTGACCGCGCCATCCAAATCTGACAAGACAATATTAGTCGGTGATCTAAAATGACAATTTCACATGCCAAACAGCTAGCTGGCAAGTATAGTGCAGTTATTTTTTCTTCAAACATTTCACAGATTATTAGGTTACCACAATGATAGTGGACATGGCATACAAATCAATACACCAATACCATTAGCACGTAAATGGCAAGTACATATTCCACCATAATGTTTTGAAATCCACTGTTTGTGGTAGGAAGAAACTGCAAATTCTTTTTTTTTTTTTTTTTTTTGTAAAATAGGCAGAAGCAAAGCACCATTTATGGGCTATCACTTGAACCACATAGGATGAAAAAAGAGTACATCAGTTTAAACTTTTTCCAAGAGTTGAATGTAATCAGAAAGGAGATTGACAGGTCTCCTCTAAGTTTTGCTTGACACTGAACTAAGTTACTAGCAAGATCAGCTTTAGTGTAAAACCCAGAACACCAGATTGAACATGTAATAAAGCATTAGGGAAAACTAAATATCTGGGGTTTCTATTTGCAACTACTGGCACAATCATCTGGGCTTTCTATTTGCATCTACTTACAAAAGACACATGGTGGATCTCCAGTTCATTATACCGTTTTATATATCATGGTACACTAAACACCAGATCTTTACTAATTCAATTATCTCAGCATCCAGATAAGTACTAAAGCAAATAAGTAACTAGCAAATAAGAAAAGAAGTTCCTGTGAACATATCAGGCATTGCTTTATTTAGGTCACAGTGAGGTGCATTGTGGCATCAAAGGTATTTAGGACCAAACTTGATTTACCTTGGTTCCAAAACATCAGGCTTGAGTTGCACATGTTGGCCCCTATTTAATGGAATAACTTTGATAACTTCACTTGTCAAAACATGGGCTTCTCCAGTACAAAATGACACAGCAAGGTGGTCATTGTCTACAACAGACTGGACAAAACCAATGCTTCTAGGTCCTGCACCTTGCCAGCCAAAAGCAGGTGAAGTAACAGTTCTTCTAAATTTCACCCAATCCGCAACCTCATATCTGATTACAGCATAAAGAAAATGAATTACTAAGACAATTTGTAAATAACATGACGTTCATATTCACTTGTTATCCTAGAATGGGCAGTCAACTTCCAAATTATACTTCTAGAATTGTCATCAAAATTGAAAAGTATGTGACTATCATTACTTTTATTTAAAAAAATCCAAACATATAATTAGGAAAGGCAACAGTCAAGATCAATGTTATCAGATCGGACGACTAATAGCGATTAGTCGTAATTAGTCGTCCTTATCGTAACTTGGTGCTCGCTAAGGGTGCTCGATACGATTACTTTGATTAGAAACCCAGTAGTCCAATAAGTGGACGACTAATCATGATTAGTCCTCTAATAAGCCACCTTTAGATGGCCCATTAGGGTATATATAGTATATACGTATAGAAGAGGAGTGGAGGAGCTGCAGCCGCCACACATTTTCCAGGTTCTCCCACTCAGCCGCCAGCACATTTCCAGTTTTCCACTCCGCCTGGGTGCTCTGCTCTCCCTCGCAGCCACTGGCACCTCCACCCGCGTCTCCTCCGCCTGCGGCCTGCGTCTCCACCTCCGCCCGCAGCTCCTTCCTCTACTCCACCCGCAGCTCCTTCCTCCGGTCTGTGCCTAGCCGCCTATCTGGATCTCCCTCGCCGGCGTCCGCACCTCCACCCGCGCCTCCACCTGCAGCTCCTCCCACGCCTGTCTCCTCCCCTGCCGGGACCCCAGCAGCTCTGCCTGCCTCTCAGCTCCTTCCTCGACGCCTGGAGGACGGACGCAGCACGCCTCAAGCATAAAGATGAGCCACAAGGACGACTATATTTATATCACATATATAGTATATACATGGTCGATCAGGTCATCTAGGCACAAGGACGACTAAATGTCCGACTAGCCGACTAGACCGATTAGGACCGACTAATCGACCCTGATCGACGACTCTGATCGGTGGTCATACGACTAGCCTCGATCATATGATCTGATAACATTGGTCAAGATTGAGCATTGGAGATGGTAATGTCCAATACAGCGTGTAAGAGCATGGTAGTATTCAAGATGCCCAGCTAGAACTTACACACATTGAAAAAAGGTAAATAAGAGCGAGAGTGCATTTCATGTAACTATCAAACTGTAACAAGCCTACACTTCTACGGAAACTTTACATAAGACCCATGCATTTTTCGATTCACAGCTCGCGAAGCAACACAAACTCTCTCGGATGAACCTTACAACAAGCTAGCTAGCTGGTGGACACACACACACAAGATTTAGGGTGGACAATGGAGAACACACACGCAAGAATTTTGTGACGATGAATGCCTCCTTTTGGCTTTTATGTATTCAACTCACATGAAAAACCACCAAGTACATGGCTTTAAAGCCCATCTGCACACCCCGTTGAGCAACAACTCAGCCGGGTCTCAAGCCGTGCACACGAAAGCATGCATGACATCCACTTCTGTACGAGCTGCAGACTCATGCACTACAAGCCTTAAGCGCACTCACGTGTACAATCCACGAGAAGTGCTCCACCAACCACAACCCACACTGCCCCTACGTCGTGCTCTTGGAGTGCATGCAGCTGCTAGCTTCTCAACATACTTGACTTATTCCCTGATGACTCGTAGTAGCACAAACTAACAAGCTAACTCTACGTGCATGTGACTAACACATATCCATGCATTGATGCACAAACTAACCCTGGCCAGAACGTGAACACAGCACGGTTCCAGCCACATGCTCATGCACTGCAAGGTGCACGTTCTGTTGGAATTCTTGCAGAATTCTTAAATCTTTGGGACATTCTTCTCAAGTCATTTTGCAGCCTGAGTCAGAAGATAAACACATATGGCGGCTTGCTGCTTCCTGTGATTACACTTCAGCATATGAAGGTTTCTATAAAGGAGCCATTTTATTCAGTTCATGGGAGCGTATTTGGAGAACCTGGGCTCCTAACAAATATTACTTTTTCATGTGGTTGGTCACGCACAATAAGTGCTGGACTGCAGATTGTCTTGCTCAGCGGGGTTAACAGCATCACCAGAAATGTTTGTTGTGTGATCAGGAAGAGGAAACCATCAAACACCTACTGGTTTCTTGTGTTTTCTCTAAGAATTTCTGATATGAACTACAGATATTTGGACTGTAGAACCTTGCTCCCCATCCAGCTGAGCTTTCCTTTGAAGTTTGGTGGTGCTGATCTAATGAGATTGCCGCTGTTCAAGATAGGCAGGGCCTCAAATCATTAATTATTCTTGGAGCCTAGTCACTTTGGACCTATCGGAATCGTTGTGTCTTCGATGGTGCTTCGCCTAACCTGAAGGGTATCCTTGTTTCGATCTTCGAGGAAGCAAAGCGATGGGGTCTAGTAGGCGCCAAGGCCATCGCCTTGTTGTTGACTGTCCAGATACTTGGTGGTGTTGCCTAGCCCCTTGATCATCCGTCCCTTGTTTGTGTTTTTTCTCCTAAGCGCGTGTGTGTGTATGTTGTTTTTTTTTTTTTAGGGGGGGGTGCTTGTGGATGTGTGTGTGTTGAGGTAGTTGTTTGTTTCTTTGTTATTTGGGATTTCTCATACCCCTTTTCTTCTTAATGTAAAAAAAGATACACAGCTCTCCAGTGTTTCATTTGTTCAAGAAACAAATATTCAACAAAATTAGCGTGACTAACAAACCTATATGCAAGATTCAAAATGCAAACAGGCCCGCACTCCTGTAAGAGACGCATAGTAATACTGTCATGTGGACCAAGTGAGTCAAGTGTATAGCCTGCTGGCTGATAGCCTGATACAAAGACATAGGGGGTGGAGCAAACAGCCCATACTCCCCTTCAATGTCATGCAGTCAAGATGACTTGTTGGCCCATGACGTGGTAGCTCCATATTAGCATCATGGCAAACAGAAACCACTCAGGCCTGCCAGTTGGTCAGAGTATGTTGTTTAAAAGGAGAACTTGTTAAAAGTTTGGTTTAGCTAAACATATGTCAAAAGTGTAATTTTGCAAAAACCTGCCAAGTATGGTTTGTGGAAGTACCCAAAGTATGTGAAGTTTTGCAAAATTACTCGAAAAACATGAGTTCCTTACATGGTTGGTGAGAGATGAACTCCTTTATCTTCAAGTGTTTCCATCAATTCTTCATAAATCCATTCTCGTGGAAGCCTCTCAAGAAAGTCTCGTAGTGTCCAACCTCTGTAATATACAGTGATATTGTTCAAACTTGCTAATATATATTGTCACACAAACTACTGAGTAACTTTTTCATTCGCAGAACTAAACTTGAATGTAAAATTTCCAAATAACATTGCAAAGAGAAGGTTTCAAATATGAAAGAAAATATGTGAGTTGTAATCATATTTTGTCTCATGTTGTTTTTGCCTTTGGTATCACCACACAACAATAGTTTGGCGTACCCTGCAGAAGGATCCTTCTAAAAAAAATTATAGAGAACAATGCATCTCGGATTCACGCCACCATAAAAAGGGAAACCAGGGGAATTTGCTTACCGGTGGTTTCTCACATCAACAGCAGGTGACGGCTGTAGTAGCATTTGAGCAATCCAAGTCAGGTTTTCACGTATCATTTTTGCAGCGTCAGCAGCTATGTGAAAAGCATTGTCACCATCATCATCCTGATTAACAAAATAGCACAACACTTAAATATATAAAATAATTTAGTTCTAACATACATAGCAGTAAACCCAGGTTGAATTAAATAGTAAACGTGCATGAAAAATGGTACAAAAAATAAGTCCATTGTACAATAACTACAGACCTAAAGAGAAGGTCCAAGATAAAAAAAAAACTGAAATAAAAGAAACCAGGCAGAAGACCGACACTAAGGCCTTCCTACAGCACATTCCAACTTCTAAGGGTGCAAACATTTAATTTCAAAACCAGTAAATTCAGTGGATGCCTATAATTCATAAGAATCTGCATCGCATACACTTTCAGATCTAACAGGCCCAATGACTAGCATAGGAGTTGTCCCTCTGGAAGATGACCCCCAAAAAAGTCTCAGTACATCCTAATTCTTATTTGGGTAGTCATACCACCATTGATCTTGAGCAGATCACCAACAACTAGCACATAATTTAGAAGGTTGAACTAAATTCAAAGGTTAGTTATAACATTAGCAAGCAACATTTTTTCTAAACATCCACGTGCCCACTACTAAGGGTGTGTTTGGTTGGAGGGATAAAGCCATCCCATCCCAGTTTCTATAGTGTTTGGTTTGTGGACACAAGAATGGAGCCATCCCCAGCAAGGAATATTCCTTCAAGATGTGAATATTCCTTCAAGATGCCGGACGCACTCGCTCCACTCGGATGGCGTGAGCGTCGTCTCCCTCGCGCACGCACGCATGGCTGGGACGAGCAGAGAGCTGATGTAGCCAACGGCGGGCGGATCCAGCGCTGCCGGATACGGAGCTAGGCCGGGCGGAGCCCGTGCGGCCAGATCCGGCGCTCCTGGAGACGGAGCCGGCACGGCCGGATCCAACGCTGCCGGGGATGGAGTCGAGGGCCAGTGGAGCCAGCGCAGCAAGAGACGAGTGGAGCCGTGGGCGAGGTCAGGGCGGCTGCGTGAGCTCGCACAAGCAAACGGCAGCGCAGGCTCACGCGGGGCAGCAGCAGGCACAGACAGGCGGGGGTGCACGCAAGGGCGCGGCGCAAGCAGTGTGGGCTGGTGGCACTAGGCAGAGAAGAACGAAGAAGGGAAAGAAGCTATTGTTTGCATGACATGTGGGCCCCATAGTTAACGGTGTTAGCCAATCTATTATCCGATCCATCCAATCCCTCCAACCAAACATAAAAATAGAACAGCTCCATCCTTCCAACCGAACATAAGATGGAACCATCCCATCACTTGGGACATTAGTACAGAACCATTCCATTCTACCTTGCCCTCCAACCAAACACATCCTAAAATGATCCATTTTAGTGTTGTGGTCATTAGATAACGAAATAGTCTGCTTCCAACACGTAAGCTTGGTCCTATGCTTCTAGTTTGTGCTCTCCTTAATAGTCATCTAGCCATGTGTGCTGGAGCCCAGTGGTTGATACTTGGTACAGAAGACATGGGATGATTCAATAGATCTTTATATAACTTGGGTGAGCAGGAGGACTAGGCGCTACAACAGCCCAACCATTGTGGGCAAATAACATTAAGAAATTGACACGTTTAGTTTCAGAAATCAATAAACAAAGCATCTCCTAATAGTGAGGCTTTATTTGGGAAACACTGGGTAGAGGCTGCAGAGCTACTTAAGCCAGAGGATACCTTCTTCTAGAGGCTGATGTATCTCGATTGTTGGGATGGGTTTTTTTTCTTATCATAAACAACCCTTTGTACAATTGATTTCCTTTTAATATATTAGCTAAGTCCTTGTGAACTGACATTGGCCAAGATAAAACATATGTGCAATTGGTTGAACATTTCAGTTTTCCATTTGCCATGACAAAAACAACACAGCAAAAAAAATCCTTTAGGGCTTGATGGGATTGGGGTGGAAAATTAACTACTTTCCACCGAAATCCCTACCAACCCATGTGGAATGGGGTGGATTGGAGTGCAGCCAAGCAAGCCTTTACATATATCCATGCAAGCAAAAAAAAATATAACACAGTGCCACAGTGCAAACTGACCATGAGAACCATAGCACTCGAGCAGCTTATAATCACAGAAAACATAAATGTGATAGACACTAAACGCCATTCATATATTTTATACGTTTACATATTTTAGATGTTCTTACAAATTGATGATGCAAACTTGCAAAGAATATAAACTTCGTTCAGTACAATTTAAATCATAAATAAGTGAATCGGAATGAACAATATATATTACAAAGAGTCTCGACGCAACTCCCACTTAGCAACACTACTTTATATTTCCTAGTATTGGCTTCCACAAGAGTATTTTATTAGACTTGGCTTCCAAACTTACCCAGCGCTATCTATGAAAATAACATGAAAAAAAAACAGTAACACATCAAACCTGTATGTTGCAGTTTGCACCAGCTGCTAAAAGCAAGCCAACACATGAGTTTGCACCTCTATTAAGTGCAACATGGAGTGGGGTTGTATTTTGAGCATTTCTTATATTAACATCGACTCCTGCTTCCAGTATAATCTGCCAATAAAAAGATAACGAAAGGCAAAATTAAGTCATACTACTATGATATGGTGAGCAGAAACACCACAGAAATATGGGGGAAAGAATCAAACCACCAGATGGCATTTACCTTAACCAGCTCCACGTCATCGATCATTGCTGCAGTATGTAATGCAGTTCTACAGTGTGGATCATCTTGTGCTGTAGGATCAGCACCAGCAGCAAGCAATATTCTTACTAACTCTCGACCCTCTGCAAGTGCAAGTAATTTTACTATTAGAACAAAACAGGATCTGGAATAGATGGAAGAACAGGATTGTCCAAATATCCTGGACCTTAGAGAACTCTGAATACAGATTTGATAATAGTGGTATAACCAAACATACAAATGTAGATCTATGTCTTTATATCTGCTGAATCCAATAGAAGCAAAACTAGAAATTACCTTTCTCGTGCTCCTTTTTAAGAGCTGCTGCCATGCATAAAGCGGTACCAACAGGGCTGGGTACATCAATCGCTTCTGCTATATCCTCTAAAGATGCAACTTCAACCCATCTTCTTACCACAGCCGTGTTCCATGTCTCAATACATAAATGCAATGGCCTACTCACCATGAGAGTGAAATGTCACTAGAAGGAAACAACTAGACAGATAAAACATGCAAAGGAAGAAGATTTAATGCAGCCACAGCCTAAATAAATTGGCAAAAAATTTTCAATTGGTAGACGAGCATTAAAATAGAACATGATAATAGAAGCTGATGCACTGGCTTGGCTTCCACTAGGCACTAGGTGGATATTTCTTACGTTTTATGTTGAGAATTTGGTATGCCCATCGATCTGCAGCCTCCATTTTCCAGTATAACAATAGCACAATCAGTATATCTCCTGGCCACAGCAATATGCAGGACAGATTCACCTTCCCCATCTACTGCATTAGGATCAGCTCCAGCCATCAGCAACTCCTGCATAACAAATACAGAATCTAAAAAATAGGAACCAGCAAGCTTAAATGACATGAGGTGAGCATTATGGCATACTTGCATGCACTCCGGTTGACCATGATGAGCACAGACATGGGCAAGAGTAGGACCCAGGCCTTCTCTAAGCCTAGAATTGATACTGGCAGACCTGCCTACAAGTGCACGAACACATCGTGGAGAGCCAGCAGCCAAAGCAAATACTATAGGAGGGTCTTCATCCTTATCTAATATATCTACATTCTCTTGGTAAGCCACAATAGCTTCCACAAGCTCTCCTGAGCCTCGGCGGCATGCTAAATGTAAGGCAGTGAGCCCATCTGTATTTTGTGCTTCTAAGAGAGAACGGATTAAACTACCATTTCTCTCTGATGCAGCCTTTGCAAGTAGATCCCTGGTATTTGCAAAAGGTTTAGTGCGAAGTAGTATATGATATACATGCAACTGTACAAGAGTTGCCAGAGACAAACCTAACAGCAGCAGCATCTCCTTCGCATACAAGATGATGCAAGGCATTTGGATTATCATGAACCATCTCTAGGATGGAGGTTGTTGGAGGTTCCATGCCATTGGGCAAGTTTTCATTTGCGAAATCACTGCATAAGCAAGTAACAAAGTCAAAAATTAAGTTGGGGAAAACAATATGCAATTAGATTTCAAGAATGGTTAGCTTGAAGATATCTCAACATTTGCTGCTACACTTCCAGGTAAAGGAATCTTCAGGAATGGTTAGCTCGAAGATAATTCAATATTTGATTCTACACTCAGGTAAAGGTTCTCCAAAGCTTTAAGTTTCCATGTATTATGCTTTAACATAAAGTAATACAAAATCAGATGAAATTACTTCTCGGGACTAGCAGGTGGGCTCCGTGGTATGTCCAGAAGATGCCGAAGAAAAGTTTTCAGCATGTCCTGGAAGGATGGTCTTCTTGAAGCTCGGAATTGCAAACATTCACCAATCATCTTCCACAGGTCCCCAGGAAGTCCTACACCTACTACTCCTGAATATTGAGGCGGTGGCTTCTTTTCTTTTACAACAGACTTACAGATTTCCTCTGCACTCAGTCCAGCCCATCTGCATTTCAATGAGCATATAACAACACCATTCACAAAACATTAAGGATAACAAATTGAATAGTCAAGCTACTTACGGAACAGCACCAGTACACATTTCCACAAGCGTGCAACCAAAACTCCATGCATCTGACTCTGGTGATATACCATTTGCAGAATCCCAAAACATATTCAGTGACTTCTTTAGTGGTCCCCATGCCTCAGGAGCTGTATAATTGGGGCTAAGCAGTGTAGCATCAATGCCAGCACTGGAGTCATCAGGTACTCTCCTACTAGTAAGGTTCTTCAGAATTGCAGAAAGACCGTAATCCGAAACGACTGCATGTCCATGTGCATCCAAAAGAATGTTTGACGGCTTTATGCTCATACAAACAATACCCGTTGCATGGAGTTCTGCTACTCCACGAGCAATATCTGCTCCATACCTGCAAAGTCACGTGCATGAAAAAAATCATCAGTGGTTCGGCATAGTTGAAAAACAAAGGGATTATTGAAAAACAGCGACACTGGTTAAGAATTCCAGAAATTGTTAAAATATGATGGGTAATGACAAAGAAAATAGACTTATTGGTAAAGCAGGAAACTCAAATTCAAAGGCAAAAGAAATAAATGAGTATGAATGCTGTTGCAAGGTAACTAGTTCTACTAATGTTTAATGAGCGGTTTCATGCACTCAGTATTAAAAAACGAATCCCACAGGTAGCTTCAGTGTATACTTGGGGGAATCTGTTGCTTACTTAGAAAGTGCTGAAACAATAGGTATTAAAATGCTACAAGTCTTGGTTGTATTTATATGGTTCCATCCATCAGCTGTGAACTGTTATAGAAGCTTTCATCAAATGTACCACAGAAACACTGCATACTCAGAACAAGTTTATGTGATTAGCTTGAGCTTGACAGTATTATAAGAATGAAGTTGAACCCAAGATAGTTTTGGTTACCATAAAACAGCATCATAGGGATTTCTTTTTTAGCCTACCACAACTTGCTTGTGTTTAAAAGGTTTTACTGTTGTTTTTTGTTCCACCTCCATAGGTTTTTGGGACAAATTGTCAGGAAAGCTAACACAACTAGCGTAGGACATTCACTTATGTTCTACAATGTTTGTCAGTGTGGATATGGTGCAATGAGTTTCAATAAATTGCTACCACACTTTAATGTTGATCATGAAAGCTGGTCGATTCCACAGTTTGAACTGTGCTCTGAATAGGAAAATGCTCAAAGCGTTACAACGAAATCCCATACCTAAGAAAGTGAAAATTTTGGGGAAGGTAATGAATGGGCATATAATGACATGCAATTAAGCATTGACCAAACTAAACTATAATGTACTGATAAACAGTTAGCTGTATAGAAAATCTTGGAATATGAACTGCTGTTGATTTGGTTCCAGCTAAAACAAGCAATCTATTTAACTTGCTGACTGAATCGCCTTTGCTAATATATAGTAAGATATCCAACAACAGTCAAAATACAGAAACAGCCTCCTTTGCAACGAAATATAGCATAGAACCTTTGAGCCAAAGTTAGAGCTGACAATGATTATATCATTGCAGACAGCAACAAACTATCAACCTGGTTGGAATATTGCTCCGGAACTTCCATTCTAAAGACCACATGGGTCTTGCAGAGAAATGTTAAATGTGCCAGTGCCTAATACTGCTGGGAAAACCACAGCACTTCATAAATTTCTTGCAGTGATATTAATTCTCGTAGAAATTTTACTCACACATATGCATGTCATAGGAACTTTAAAGATTTCAGCATATATATATTAGTGTTAGTCACACTGTGAGCTGATAATAGATAAAAAAAAATGAAGCTCCACAGCTTGATAACTTGATGGTAATTGACTCAGCGAGCAAATTGCAAGCCAAAGTTATGATATTCACAAAATATATCACGGCATTGCGCAGAAATGGCAAGCGACATGATGAGCATTAATTGTGACCAAGTTTACCTTCCTTACAACAATAGAAGATAAGCAAACAAAACAGCTAGCAGCACCAACAAAATCAAAACGCATAACGCCATTAACAAGGCAACCACTTCACACCTCTCGAAGCAAGCTATCATACTACACAATTTGCCACCTTTAGTGAAGGTTGTAGCTAGGCATGCTTCTTAGTTCTTACTGACTACTGAGTAACAATAAAAGTGAGCGCTATGTTGCAATGCGATATGTTTGCAGTGATAATTGGCAAGACAAAAGCAGAAAGAATAGATGCCACACCTGAGAATCTGCTCCAGCGTGAGGCGTCCACCATTCTGCCGCATCTCCGCCTGCACAGACCCGACATAGCGATCCATCACGAAACAGAGGTGGCCACCGACCCTCACAGCACCATGGAATGTGCACACGTTCCGACACCATGTGGAGGCGCGCCTCAGCCGCTCCACCTCCTCTTGAACAACCTCGAGCCCGTCCCCTGCGGCCAGGGGCACCCTCTTCACTGCCACCTGGTGCTTGCACCGCTTGACCCCGCCGCCGCCACCGCCACGAGACAGCGTGCCGGCCCACACCTCCTGCCTGGCGGGCCCGGGCGGGCCACTCCCGATGCGGCGGGCGAGCTTGAGGTCCGGGTGCGAGGCGAGGTCGAAGGAGCTGCATCCCGGCGGCGCGGCGGCGGGCGCGGGCGCGGGGCGGCGACTGGGGCGCGCGAAGAAGTCGTCCTCATCTTCGGAGCCGTCGGAGGATGACCCCGAGTCGGAGTGGAGGAAAGACGGGGAAGAGGGGGATGCGGAGAGGAGCGAGAGAATGGGGAAGTTCTTCCGCAGCGCAGAGACCGAGTTGCCTACGGCGGTCGGATGGCGACATCGCGGGCACGCCAGCGTGGCTCCGGGGGCTGCCGCTAGCATGCGGGAGAGGCACGCGCGGCAGAATCCATGGCCGCAGTGGAGGAGCAGCGGCGTCCGCTCCTCCTCGTCATATCTGACGTTGCATAACGAGCAGCATGGCACGCGCATCGCGCCGGCGCCGACGGGTTCGGGCGGCGCGGTGCCCTAGGGCGCAGGGCCGGAGAGGAAGCTGTAAATGGGGAGGCGTAGATCTGGGAGTCCGGGGTGGGGGTTTGGGGAGGGGAGACGGGAGAGCAGCGTGGGAATTTCTGAAAGGGAGAGGTAGAGGGGGGTTGGTGGTGATGCGGTGGGGAGGCTGGGGAAGGACGACAAGCAAAGCGCGGCGCGTTGCCCTTCCTGCTCCTGCTGCTCTCCCCGCTCCGCCCACCTTTTTCCTGGTTCCTGCGCTTGCAAATTGCAATGAGGGTGCGGCGCTGCCCCGCGTGTGTTTGGCAGTGCGGGCGACGGCTCCCATGAGCTCATCGGCTTGCAGCGTTGTCGACTGCAGCTTTGCCACGGAAAAGGAACTCCGCTCTAAGAGCATCTCCGTAAGAGGTTCCTATCTTAACTCGGCATCGATATAATTTTGATAAAATAAGAAAAAATAGTCTCTAATAGTTTGGCAAAACAACTTGACATCAATAGCAACTTGACAAATCTTCCCTCCGCGCGCGCAAATATACGCTCGCGTGTACAACTTAGCATCTGGGGCTCTTCGTTTCTTAACGAGGCTCTTCGTTCGCTTAGCGGGGCTCTTCATTCGCTTAGCGGGCCTCTTCGTTTTGTTAACGGGTTTTTTTTATTTTACCAAGTCAAAAATGCCAAACTCTTGGAGATGGATTGTTTTTTTACTTGACATATAATTTTGGAAGTTGGCAAATCACAAGATTTGCCAAGTAAAATTTGACAAACTCTTGGAGATGCTCAACTATAGGCAATCGGTACGCGAGGCAAATTGTAGCGATGAAATCAAATGAAAACTTTAGTCTACCGAAACTATAAATTATTATGGTCTAAGGACACTAACGTGTGTTTGCTCGGGAACGTAGAGAGATGGAACGGACCTATTCTACCTTTTTTTTTATGGAATGGTTCCCGGTCCTTGTTTAGGCCTCGTTCGGTTATACCAGATTCTACCGGAAACCAATCCAGATGATCAAAGACTATATAGGCCACATTCGCTTCGCTGAAAAAACAAGCCGAAACACTGTTTCGGCTGATTTGTTGTGAGAGAAAAACATTATTCTGGCTAAAAAAATAAACTGAAAAAGACGGATTATAAGAAAAACGAACAGGGCCATAAAGTTTAGAATAGCATTCCGGCTAGGAATTTATCCTGGGAACCATTCTCTTACAAACGAACAAGCCCTTAGTTGAAAGGAGGTGAAATGATTCTTATTTTCTACTTAGGGCTCGTTTGGTTTACAGCCACACGTTGTGTGGTGGCATCTAAGCTGTGGTGGTTGAAATCAGCGCCGCAGCTGTGGTGTATGTACCAACTTGGAAAGACGGTGGCTGCCATGTCCAAACGCTGAACCAAGCAGCAGTCTTCTGCTGGTGGCGAGCCGCACTTGAGGCTAGCAGGCTGACGGGGAAGCAAACATCCCCTTAGTCTAGGATATAAAATTTTGGATCAATACCTAACCTTTGGGACCCATTTGTCATTATTTTTCCCTTCCCATTTTATCGGTTTGGCACTCATATCTTATGCCCTTAATAAAGCAGAAATCGCCTCTAATCTGTAGGACGTAACTCTCACTGCCACCAAAGCTCTGTACTCGCCAGCCCCGTGGTTGAGAACTCACCTTGCGAACGCGCCCTTCCCTCCGCAAACGACTCACCCTGCAAACAACACCCTCGCATTTTTGCCCGTGACTGAGACGCTCCCTCAACCTTCGTCTCCATGTGCTGCCACCTAACTTCATCTGCACTCATCACGGGCCAAGCTTGTGCCCCTGTGTTGCGACCCGAACTCCTCCTCGTCATCTAGGCTCTACGCTAGGCACGAGGTACTCCTCTACATCCACCTCTCCCGACATCAAAGCCAAGTTGCTGTTGATTTGCAAGGTTTAACCACCTGCGATGTTAAAGATGGCTACAAATCATGTTGGCAAGCTATGACACTTTGATGGGATAAACTATGAATATTGGAAGAAAAGAATGTGTCACCATCTCAAGACAAAATGAGTAGAAAGATATGGGGTGTGCTATAAGAGGAGTTTATTATGCTTGATATGAAGAAGCTAGCAAATAGAGAAGAGTTATTGCAATTGAATAATCAAGCTCTCAATGTGATCTATGAAGCTCTTGATACAAAGGTCTTCAAGTCAATCAAAGACGTGGAGATGCCACATCATGTATGGAAGAGGCTTGAGGACTCATATGAGGGCACTTTGGTGGTTAAGAAATCCAAGCTCTATATTTTCAAAGATAAATTTGCCAAATTCAAAATGTTAAAAGATGAGAGTATGCCGGAGATGTTCCATAGGCTCAATGTCATTGTAAATGATCTAATGAAGTTGGGGCACAAGGTTGATGATGAAGACTTCTCCACCAGTTCTTAAGGTTTGATACATTGGTCACCATCATTGTGAGAGGCGGTTTGAAGGGAGTCACTCCTACCCAAGTACTAGGTGACGTGGTCACATGAGGCGCATACCGTGAGGAAAGGGTGGAGGTGGAGAAGGAATAAAAGAAGAGTGTGGCATTCAAGACCACTACATCATCCAAGGGCAACAGCAAGAAAGAGGAAGAAACAAGTGATGATGAAGATGCTAGCTCAAGCTCAAGTGTAGAAGATGAGGTCATCTCTCTTTGTGTGCTGGTTCGGGAAGTTCATCAATAAGAAAGGCTATGGTGCAAGAAGGAGAATATCAGCATCCAAGGAAGGAGGAGCGAAGATGCTATGATTGTGGGGAGATTGGGCATCTTGTGGCTGATTGTGGCAGAACCGCCTAAAATAACACACTTTTGAAGGAGCTTGTCTTCTACTAGACACTAAGCACCTCGAAAGTGGACTATACCAGACAGTTTCGTCGAGCACACCCCAAGGAAGAACTCGAAATAACCCACGTTTTACATCTAGAATCCAATAATGAGTACAAGCTTATAATACTTAGTCCATTTCATACAACCTAGAGTCTTGAAAATTATTTATTACGATATTAGAGTTCAGAGTGCGATAATTAAACAACGAAAATGTAATAATCATCTAGCGGAAATGATACACGGATCCATCTGTGCCACCAGAAGAATCCTCCACACAAGAGCTAACTCCTCAAGCTACACCTGCAATAGGGTAAAATAAACCCTGAGTACATAATGTACTCGCAAGACTTACCCGACTAGTGGGAATAGTTTCCCGACTCGTAAGGAACATGATAGGCAATATGGACTGTTGTTTTCTTTTGTTTATGAAAAAGCATTACTAAAAGTACGCCCTTAGGGTCAAGTTTTATTAGCAGCCATGATTACTTAATTAGCTAACCATTCTAGGTAAGCACCTGTTCTAATTTCAGAAAGGGTTGAGCAATCAGAATCATTTCACCATCTTTCATCTTCTAGTTTTTACTACGGTGCTAGACCATAACCAAGTCGTACCGTCTCACAGAAACGGCAATTCGCGAACCAATGTATCCCAGCTGGATACCCCGAAGCACACGCCTCGCTTGTACCCCAGGCACAAAAGAGACCAACCCACTCCACTCCTGTCGACAGGTCTAGGTTTTCGTCCAAACTTGGACTCCAAGCCCCCACACTTGAGACCTAGTCTCAGCATGGTGCTTAGACCTCTACCTTTCCCCGCTTCCAATCAGTCGGTCCAGAAAGAGCCGAACCCCACGACAAGAGCGCAACGAGCCTTCCCGCTCTCATAAGCAAGTATGTGTTTAGGATAATAAGTCTGTGTCCTGACTACCATCCACAGCAATGGACGGTCCTCAATCGACATGGATAGGGAAAATAGTATAACCAAGCTAAACCCCGTGGCCGCGGGACACAACTTGTTACGCCCACCAATAACCCATGCCATATCCCTGCCCGGTCTCCATTTTCTCTTCGTCATTTTTATTATGAAAGTAATAATAATCACCTATTGTGAGTAACGGCAGGTTACTCACGCTACCGACAACCTAAGCATAGCAGCTACTTGAACCTCCACTAGTAGGACTCTTAGGATGGATATATATATGCATGTGGTTCCTATAGAATTCCTGTAACGTAAATGTACATCACATATATTTATGGTGATTATAAAAAATAAGGATTATGCACCGGGGCTTGCCTTGGGTAGGCGTAGTGTCAGCTAAGTCAGTTAGTGGCGTTCATTGATGATATTTTGATATACTCCAAGAACAATGAAGAGTATGCACAGCATCTTCGGATAGTATTGACTCGGTTAAGGGAACATAAGTTGTATGTCAAATTCAGCAAGTGTGAGTTTTGGTTGGATCGAGTATAGTTTTTGGGACATGTCCTGACATCTGAAGGCATCTCTGTGGATCCTGGCAAGGTGCAGGACGTGTTAAATTGAAAATCTCCAAAGTTAGTGCATTAGATTCGCCAGTTCCTTGGTCTCGCTGGGTATTATTGGCGCTTTATCCCTGATTTTTCTAAAATAGCTCAACCAATGACCAAGTTGCTCCAGAAGGATGTCAAGTTTGTATGGAGTCCACCTTGTGAAGAAGCTTTCCAATCTTTGAAGAAGTTTCTTACCTCTGATCATGTTCTTGTCTAACCAGATATTGATAGGCCATTTGATGTGTATTGTGATACCTCTGAGACTAGACTGGGATGTGTGCTTATGCAAGGCGGACGTGTGATTGCTTGTGCTTCACGTCAGCTGAAAAAGCATGAGTTAAATTATCCCACTCATGATTTAGAGCTGGCTGCAGTGGTACACGCTCTAAAAATTTAGAGACATTACCTATTGAGAAATAAAGTACACATTTTTTCGGATCACAAAAGCCTCAAATATATTTTCACTCAATCCAAGTTGAATATGAGGCAACGGAGGTGGCTTGAGTTAATCAAGGATTACAATTTAGAAGTTTATTATCACCCTAGAAAAGCTAATGTGGTAGTTGATGCCTTAAATCAAAAGCCACATCAAGTTCAAGAAGAATCTTTGT